AGCATTTTAATAACAACTAAAGGTGACATAGATACTTTATTATGGTATAGTATTTAAATATATGCCTGAGAAACACATGATATTGGCCCTTTAAAAGTGAATATCCAATGAGGAAATAAAACTACCAAATAAAAGCTTCTATGCATCAGGTGGTGATGGGTCCAARAGTACAGACATGCTGGCCTGGCTCATGTATTGAGCACAATGAATTAGAATCAGAATCAGAATCATTTATTGTCATTCACACACAACATCAAGATGCAGTGCAGAACGAAATTGCAGTTTAGAACATCCATCTGGAGAAACACACACATGACAGACACGGGGGAACGAATGTCCATGGCCCTGCACAACGTAGTGCGCTGCCTTGCAGTTTAGAATACACACACATAGGAAGGATGAGTTAAAAAAAAGAGCTTTGATCCTGTTTTATACAAAAAAAACACACAAGCATGCACACAAAAAACCACTCTGCTAAAGGAGCAGCTAAGGAGGGGGAGGGAACCCCAATTAAACCCTGTACTGTTGCACGTATTGCTTTAGGAAAAGTCACATGATCAATACAGCTGCTGTTGTTCAGCAGCGAGATGCTAACCGTTTATCAGGAAGCAAAATGCATTTGTGTGTTTTATAAGGCAGAACTCTATGGGCGCAAATTCCAGTCTTTTATATTTTGTGTTTGCACATAGAGACAAAATTCCCTTAGATCCAAAATGCTGCAAAAACTGTCCCTCAATTAAAAATTGTAAACCCTGTCTTATTCCTCAACAAGTACACGGTGCTTGTGTACTTGTTTGTGTCCAAACTGACTTCTACACAACTGTCACTTTAGCCTGTGACATCACATTTTTTGTAATAAATAGGACATATAACATATTATAAAACTAGTTGTATGCTGTTGAGATGAACAGTTGTTGAGATATTTGCATGTGAAAAAACAGGAAGTGATGTTAAAGGGGAATGTCTGCATGTAAACAGAGCGTTGCTACAACAGCTAACAACACAGACTGTAGAGAAGAATCTAATGTTTCTGTAGATTATTTTGAGTCACTATCAGAGAGATGAAGAAGAGACAGAGTTCAAATAATATTGTTCCTATAAACAAAGACCAGTTTTCTCTCTTAAAGAGTTCCCCTCTGATGTCACTTGCTGTTTCATTTAAGTTGAGCCAAGTTCAGACGAAAATATGCCAGTTATGTGACAAAATAGGTAAAATCACGTATTATGCCAAATTTCTTAAATATAAAAGATGTTTTCTTTGACTTTTTGTATTTGAGGAATATGCACGTCACAGGCACTTTAATTTCAACATTTCATTTACACTTGCTTTATTTAATTCTGGATTTGACAAACTGTATTACTCATTCATTTTGATCATGTTCAAATTACAGTAGTATGCACACTGTACATTTCTCTTGCATTAAAAGGTCATTTGAAAGATAGTTTGTCAAATAACTGTACAGTTTGATAGTATTTGTTATATAAATTTCTATCCAAATTAAAATGTTTGTAAATGGTGACAAAAACATGCCATTTTCTACAAACTGCATGAAAATTGGAGTTTGATTTTGCATTCAGTGCTCCTGGAGGAGGCGGAGCTTGTGTGACGTCACAATTGAACAACTCGTGCTCCTCATTTGGACTGCTAATAAAATCCTGAAACTCCACACTTTGTCAGCTACAGAATAGAAGTGCAGTTGCTTTGTTTTTGTACTTTATTTCCCATATCCTGGATGACAGAGAATCCACAGCAATAGATGCTAACATTAGCATCAGATAGTAGCAATTCCAGTCAGGGACACTTTCTTCCTCCTCATCTTCTTCGGAGCTTTCTGCCTGAGCAGCAGATTCTCCTCTCTGTGGTTCATATTTAGCCTGGTAAAAACCAGACCCTTGTCCTTCACTTTGCTTCGTACGAGGGTCTGGACTCTCGGCTATAGAGAAGTGATTCTTGCTGGAGGCGTTGGCCTCTGTTGAAGTTTAAAATGACTGGATCAGTTGGCCACAAGTGCCAGCTCCACTGTGAAGGAGGCTAAGCTAAGAAGCTAACCGGCAATCTCATGTGCTGTAACAACCCTACTGAGAGGAGAGAAGTACCGAGCCGAACGAGACGACTGTAAATGAGAGCTGCTGCTTTGTCAAGACACATTTAATTTAATTTGGAAGCCTTATCAACACGGACTGGCTTCATTCACTTCCTCCACTGCCGTACGCTAAAATAACTAGCAGACATCAAAAAGAAAAAATAAGTTCTTTTTAGTGAAACGTTTCGTCTCTCGTCCAAAAGACTTCTTCAGTCTGATGAGTTTCAGGTCAACCCAGCCTTAAAAGTTTCAGGCTGAGTTCACCTGAAACTCATCAGACTGAAGAAGTCTCTTGGACGAGAGACGAAACGTTTCACTAAAGAACCCATCCAGAGGACCTACTTATTTTTTTTCTACCTGGATTACTGAGATGCATCAGGACATAACTAGCAGACACTGTGCAGGAAATCAATGTCGTTCAAAACTCCTCCTTCTATTTGCTGATTGGCCCAGGTAAAATAAACTACAAGCCGATACTGCGCAGAAAACTGACGTTCTGTTCTRTMATAGGCCCTGACGAAAATTCTCCTGAAGAAATGCTTGTCTATTAGCCTGGTTTAAACCAGACCCTGTCCTTCATTTTGCTTCGTACAGAGAGTCTGGACTTGATGCATAGAGAATCGATTTCTTGAAGGAGGCGTGGCCTCTGCTGAAGTTTAAAATGATTGGATCAATTGGCTGTGACGTATGTCGCTGTGACGGAGGCTAAGCTAAGAAGCTAACTGGAAATCGCGTGTGCTGTAAACAATCCTACTGAGAGGAGAAATATACCGAGCCGAACGAGACGACTGTAAATGAGAGCTGCATGATTTGTCAGACAAATTTATTTTAATTTGGAAGCCTTATCAACACAGACTGGCTTCATTCACTTCCTCCACTGCCGTATGCTAAAATAACTAGCAGACACAGCGCAGAAAGTCGACGTCATTCAAAGCTCCTCCTTCTGTTTGCTGATTGGCCCAGGTAAAATAAACTAAAAGCAGACACTGCYCAGAAAATTGACGTTCTCTTCTCTGATTGGCCCGGCTAAAAATCTGCCAGCGAAATCCATCTCAATGGGAGAAGTCCCAGACGGAGCAGTGAAGGGAAACTAGAATTGAGCGGAGCTGCGTAGGTAGGCAAGGGCCAGGCTACTTGTCTCTGCTCCGTCTGGGATATCTCCCAGAGAGGGGTGGAAATTTGTAAGTTTTTTATTACAGCTGTGAATAATTTAAATCAGAAATTTAAATAAAACATTGTATGAATGCAAAATACATAAATTTTTTTTAAGTTGATCATGTCAACATGTCACGTCAACTACTCAGCATTTGGTCCGAAGCTGAAGAGTCGACTCCAGAACTGGTCCTGTGGTTGCTAGACGTTCGTTTTCACACACAACTCCGAAAGCTGCTGTTTATCCACAAATCTGTCACGGGTAGAGCGGAGCGCCTAAATTTTTGGCAGATAGATATCAGATTCCTCCGAGCACGTTTGTTTTATCTCCATCTAGGAGTTTTGGGCCTTTTGAATATTCCTATAAATGTCTGGAAGAGTATGAACATGTGCATTTCACATACGAGTATGTGCAGTAATTTCTAAAATCCAGCAGATGTCACCATTAAGTGATACACTACAGTGCATTATTCACGAGGAATCATCAACCCATCACTAGCATCAGAGATGACACAAAAAGACAGGCATACTTAGTGAAAAAATAAACTGAGTTTTTTTTTCCCCACACAAACTGTCCAACACATTGGCCTCATCACTTAATCAGTCTCAATTTGAACCATTTTCCGTTTGATTTGACAAAAACAGAGTAGAAACAGTGTAGAAACCTTTTAAACACACTGACTTGTAGTAAACTTTGGGAAAGAAGGAAAGACGTCACCTGCGGTGGCCATCATCCAGGATTTCCAGGACCTGCATGTACGCACGGCGAGTTGTTGACTGCATGTAAGACAGGAAGCCAGCAGCTGTAAACAGGTTGATGTTTGCATCTTCAGGGGAGCAGAGGGGAGGACACAGGCGGACCGGTGCAGGCGAGGAGGGGGTTATGCTGGTGGTTGGGAAGTAGAAGAAGACAACGGTTATCAGTAAGGCAGAGTGCCAGGTGGGTTAAATGTTGTGTCCTCCTCACCTCAAGTCCCCCCGGCTGACCTGACTGCTGTGGCGACCAGACGTGTTCTCGCTCACACTGCGCTCCCTGCGAGATCGAGCGTGAAAACTGGCCTTTCATACAAGCAAAGGTTTGAATTAACACCAGGTCCACACCATACCATTTGTTCTATGTCAGGGGTATTCAATTAAAATTTAAAGAGGTCCAGTCAGAGAACATTTTATGAGACCAAGGTCCGGAAGATCAAAATGTCAGACTGATATATGTGTGTGCGTTTGTGTGTAGCTATTGTTGTATCAACATCTGCATGCATTGAAATGAATTCACTCTT